CCTGTGTGATCCCTGTTGGGGTGTGTGATCCCTGTGTGATCCCTGTCGGGTGTGTGATCCTTGTCAGGGTGTGTGATCCCTGTGGGGTGTGTGATCCCTGTGTGATCCCTGTGTGATCCCTGTCGGGTGTGTGATCCCTGTCAGGTGTGTGATCCCTGTTGGGGTGTGTGATCCCTGTGTGATCCCTATGGGGTGTGTGATCAGGGTGTGTGATCCCTGTGGGGTGTGTGATCCCTGTGGGGTGTGTGATCCCTGTGGGTGTGTGATCCCTGTGTGTGTCACGAGGGAGGAAGCCTGGCCTGGAACGTGACCGGAGGTGCTGCCCCGCGTTATCTGAGGAGCTGTTTGCTCCCGGATCCCTTGGAATTGCCGCTATTCCCTGCCGGGGTGGGCAGTGCCACCGTGCCTGTGGGACGGGCTGGGGTCTCTCCTGTGCTGCCTGTGTCCATGGAGGGCTGACGTGGTGCTGGAACGTCCCAGTGTTGCTTCCAGCCTGGCATTCCCAGAGGTGGCTGTGCCAACAGGGGTTCCTGCTACCTGCTCCCTAATCCCAGTGTTGCTTCCAGCCTGGCATTCCCGGGGGCTGGGGGTCCTCTAATCCGTCTCTTGTCTCTGCAGGGAGCGGGGATGGACAGGGACAGATCCTCCAGCGCTTCCCGGAGAAGGACTGGGAGGACAACCCCTTCCCACAGGGCATCGAGCTGGTGAGTCCCTGTCCCTGGGGACCCTCGGGTGACACCGGGGTGGGTGACACCGGGACACATCCCACAGGGTCTGATGGGGAGAGGGGTTCCCACCTGCCCCCAGTGCAGCTCCAGCTGCAGAACACTCTGGAAATGGTGGGATCCAGCGTGCTGGCTCCTCTCCCGGCCTCTGTGCTCCCCCTCCTCCCCTGGGATCAGCTGCTGGGGGTGCTGGAATGTTTCCTGGAGGAGCCAGGGGTGCAGCCTCACCAGCGTGACCAGGCCTTTCCCGGTGCCTTGCCCCCTCCCAGCAGGGGGAATCCCGAGGAGCTGCTGGGGCCTGGATCCCTCCCAGAGCTCAGGCTGCAGTCACCAGCTGTGTCCCAGTCCTTTGGGATCAGCTCAGTGCCGGGTCATTCCCAGAATGTGGCACACCCAACTGGATGTGCTGCTTCATGGGATCCTCCAAACCAGGAGAGTGGGATTGTTCCCCTCGGTTGCTAAATTGGAATGGAAGCTCTTCCCAAATCCCATGCTGTGCCTGGGATCAGTGGGAGCAACTGGCTCCTCTTCCTGTCATCACTGGGATCGACAGTGCCCGGCCCCTCTTCCCATCCCGTGTTCCCCAAAAACTCCAGCGCAATTCCCGAGTTTTCTGGGCTGTTTTGTGCGAGGCAAAAAATACACATTATTTTTCTGGTCTGAGTTTCCTGGTGTCTGCAGGGACCTGGGAACGGTCCCAAAACAGGAGGAAAGCTGCGGAAAGCTGCTTTTTTTCCCCAGGGGTCAAACCGTCCAGCCAAAAAATCCCTGGAATTTAAACAATTGGAGCCCTGTCCTGTTGGGAGCCAGGGGTGGCTCCAGGGCTTCCCACAAGCTCTCTGAGGTGTCCCGGGGGGAACAGCTCCCGAAAATCCAAGGGAGCTGATCCTGGGGGATTGGGCGGGACGTGACATTGCGGTCACAGCTGGTTCTTTTTAGCAGCTTTTTGGGGGAGAAAGGGCCCTTCTGGGGTGTCAGGGAGCTGCAATTTGTAGCTTCTGGCCTTGCAATTCCAAACAGAAACATCTCGTGTCTGTTTGTGGATCCGGTTCCTCTGGGGACACACACACAGGATGTGGATGTGTCCCTGCCACAGCTCCTCCCTCCCTGCCCAGAGCTCTCTCCTCCAGAGCCCCTGGAGCTGCCTGGAGTGGGCATTCCCAGGGGAGCAGCGGGAGAACAGAGGGATCCTGGTGGCAGCGGCTGCCACGGCCCCGAGTGAGGTGTGCGATGGGAGCGGAGATTCCTGTAAATCCAGGGCTTCTGTGTGCTCCAGGGAGGGTCAGGGCCATTCCCACTCTCCCTTTTGGATCCTTTCCATGGTGCTGGGCCTCGTGTCTTTCCCTGCCGTGATCCCACAGGTCTGCCTGACACGGCGCAGGATTTCCCGTGTCCTGGGGCGGCTCTGGGATGGTTTTGGCACCCACTGGGTGCGCCCAGGCCTCCAGATCTGTTCCACCTCTGGCAGCGTTCCAGACATCCAGCTTCCAGTGCCTAAGGGAGCTCTAAGAGAGCTGGAGAGGGACTTTGGACAAGGGCCTGGAGGGACTGTGGCTGCCCCTGGATCCCTGGAAGCGTTCCAGGCTGGGTGGGATGGGGCTTGGAGCAAGCTGGGCTAGTGGAAGGTGTCCACGTGGGAGGGGATGAGCTTTGAGGCGTGGATGTGACTCAATCTGTTGGACTTGGTGAAATTCCCTTTTAATTGTGTGTCATGTTTTTTGCTGAAGCTGGAAAATACTTCAGGTTTTGGAAAATTATTGAGGGGAAGAGGAGACAGGGAAGTAGTGGAGTCCCCATCCCTGGAGGAATTTAAAAGCTGTGTGGATGTGGCACTTGGCTGGGAGGGTGGGAGGCCCTGGCCCAGGTTGCCCAGAGAAGCTGTGGCTGCCCCTGGATCCCTGGAAGTGTCCAAGGCCAGGTTGGACGGGGCTTGGAGCAACCTGGGCTAGTGGAAGGTGTCCCTGCCCATGGATGGGCTTTAAGGTCCCTTCCCACCCAGACCGTGCTGGGACTCTGTGATCTGTGACCCAGCAGCAAATTCCTGGGGGGCAGCAGCTCCGTGGGCTTTGGGCTCCTCATTCCTGCGATGCCCAGGAGATGTTTGTGCTGAGCTGGGGGCTCGTGGTGGAGCCCAGTGAGGGGGGGAACTGTCGTGTGGGGACAGTGACACCGTGTGCTCACCCCCGTGGCTGCTGAGCCAAACCCTCCTACAGCAGGAGCACTGGGATGGAGAGCTCCCAGACAGGGGTTTACAGGGACAGCCCTGGCAGAGCCCGGGAAGCTTTACAGGGACAGCCCTGGCAGAGCCTGGGAAGCAGCTTCTCAGGTGCCTTTGCCTCCCTTCCCATCTTGGGTGTCTGGGGAGATCCAAGCTCCTGCCCCGTGGCCAAGTGTCCAGCTCTTACCGGGGAGGAGAGGAGGCTCCATGGGCACCACGAGCACAGGGAGTGGTGAACAGCTGGAAAACTCACCAGGTGGGAACTTGGATTCCTGAGGGTTTGGGCTGGAGCAGTGACTCCTCATGTGTTGGGCCCTGTGGCTGGTCTGGCCCTGGTGCCACCTCCTTCTTGTCCTCGGATTTGCTCAAGTCCCTTGTCCTCGGCGTGGCCCCGGAAGGAGCCGAGCTGTCCCTCACCCAGGGAGGTCCCAGCACTGCCGGGAATTTTCCACAGGGGCTGAGGAAATGCAGAAAAACCCCCTCGAGACTTGGAAACCTGGGGGAGTCCTGGGGGCCGCTGGCTGGAATTACCCCCGGCCCTGGGAGGGGGTGTTTGGGAAGTCCCAGTGGCAGCTCCAGCGGGACTGGGAGGTGCTGGGAGGGCGGTGGTGGCACAGCCAAGGGCAGTGTGTGCCCAGGGGAGCGGTGCCACCTCCTGGAGCCACCCTGGTGCCCATGTCCTTTCCTTCCTGACCTTGTGGTGCCAGCGTGTGGTTGCCTGGTGCCTGGCACCGTGGTGGGCTGGAGGTGTGCAGAGCCTGGGGGGCTCGGTGCCCTGGTGGGCCTGGGGGTCTGTGCAGAGTTTGGGGGGCTTGGTACCGGTGCCAGGGGGGCTGCAGAGCTGTGCAGAGCCCAGCAAGCAGGGGGGACTCAGTGCCAGGTGCCATCAGCCCCCTCGCCCAGCCAAGCCCCTCACAGCTCCTGTGTTGGGCTCCCGTGGCTGGGTGCAGGGTGCCCATCCTGCCTGGGGTGCCCCATCACCCTTTCTTCCCTCCTGGGTTTCTCCAAGCAGCTCCAGCTGCCCCTGCGGAGAGGAGGGGACGGCACTGGCCCTGTTTCCCCCCTGGGAGGGGGTTTGGGAACTCCCAGGAGCCGGTCCAGGGTGTCAGGAGGGTGCCCGAGGTGCAGTGGGTGAGGGGAGGGTGCTCTCCCCATTCCCAGATCCCGGAGCTGCCCTTCCCTGCAACGTGGTGCCCCACCGAGCTCCCCGTTCCCGGGATCCGGGGCCGGTGGGGTCGGGGTTTGCTCTCACCCCCTCCAGGGGCTGCGGGGGTTGAGGGGCAGTGGTTGGCAGCCCCTCTGACCCCAGCCCTCCCTGCCCACAGTTCTGCCAGCCCAGCGGCTGGCAGCTCTTCCCGGAGAGGAACCCCCCCACCTTCTTCGTGGCCGTGCTGACCGACATCAACTCGGAGCGGCACTACTGCGCCTGCTTCACCTTCTGGGAGGCCGTGGAGAGCCCACAGGTGCTGGGGGCACTGGGACGGGGGCAGCAGTGCTGGGGGGAGGCATCCCACTGGCCAGTGATTCCTGTGTTCCCCGTGCCACAGGAATCCAGGGATGGGTGGGAGTGGTGGGCAGCAGCACTGGGGGAGAAGCATCGGGCTTCCGTTGGCCCTGGCCAGTGGTTCCTGCCTTCCCTGTGCCAGAGGAAGCTGGGGGTGGGTGGGAAGGGTGGTCAGCAGCCCTGGGGGAAGCATCCAGCTGCATTTAGCTCTGGCCAGTGGTTCCTGCCTTCCCCGTGCCAGGGGAATCCGTGGCCGGGTGGGAAGGGGGGTCAGCAGCAGAAAAGCAGCGGTTCCCGACTTCCCTGTGCCGGAGGAATCCGGACCCTGGCACTGGGATCTTGGGAGAGGGAAGAGCACCCTTTAACCCCGTGCCCTGGCTGGTGTGTGTCTCCCCAGCCCCAGAGCCACCCCAGGAATGGTGAGGGCGAGGAAGGGGAGGAGGAGCCGTCGTCTCCCGTCCAACCTGCCCAGCTCTTCGCTCCCAAGAGCCTGGTGCTGGTGTCCCGGCTGGACCACGCCGAGGTGTTCAGGGTGAGTCCGGGATGGGGGAGCAATGCTGGGAAAGGCTTCCTGACTCTGGGAGCGAGGAAGCTGCAGGGACAGCCTGGCACAGCCCCTGTGGGAGCGTGGCCCGTTCCCATCCTGCCCTTTGCATCCAGAGCCGGGCCCAGCTGTGCTGACCCCGAACGGGACACGGAGCCAGGGCCCCCCCAGTGCCAGCCTGGACCCACCTGGTTAATGGAACACAGGGAGGAACAGCCTGTTCCTGCAGAGTGTTGGTCTCTGCCAGCTGTGTTTGTGTGAAGGTGCTGCATTGTGTGCCTGGGAAGGGTTTGGGAGCTGGGAGCTGGGCTGTGTCCATGGGGACAGGGCTGGGAGAGCTGGGGGTGTTCACCTGGAGAAGAGAAGGCTCCAGGGAGAGCTGAGAGCCCCTTTGCTCCTTCCAGGGCTTAAAGGGGCTCCAGGAGAGCTGGAGAGGGACCTGGGATGAGGCCTGGAGGGACAGGACACAGGGAATGGCTTCCCAGTGCCAGAGGGCAGGGAGAGATGGGATATTGGGAAGGAATTCCTGGCTGGGAGGTGGGGAGGCCCTGGCCCAGGTTCCCCAGAGAAGCTGTGGAAGGAACCTACAACAGCCACCCAGGGCTGACCAGAGTCAAAGTGTGTTGTCAGGGGCACTGCCCAGATTTTGGGAACCTTGACCAGCCCTTGGTGGGAAAGGGTCTCCTTCCCATCCCTTCCTTGGAGTATTTGTGGGCTGGGAGTGCTGAGGGGCTGGAGAGCCCGGGTGTTCCCAGCCACTCTGCTCATGGAGCTGTGGGAAGCCCCTGCTGCTCCCAGGGGGTCAGTGTGGGGCTGGGGACGTGCTGCTGGCTGGAAGCAAACGGAGCACGTGCCGAATATCCCATCCCTGTGGAGGAGGAGGAGGAAGACCTGGAGCGCTGCACCCAGGATTGGCAATCCCAGGCTGTGTTTGGCCCGGGGACAAGCCCTGGGAGCCCCTCCAGGGGCTGGGGTTCCACGCTGGAGGGTCTCCCCAGCTCCCAGCCCTGCTCATCCGTGCCCTGCTCCCCCCTCCAGAACAGCCTGGGGTTGATCTACACCATCTACGTGGACGGGCTGAGCGTGTCCTTGGAGAATGTCATCGGGAACCTCCTCACCTGCACCATCCCCATCACGGGGGGAGCACAGGTGGGTGTCCTGCCCCTCCCTCTCCCTCTCCGTGCCCTTCCCTCTCCCTCTCCGTGCTCTGCCCCCTCAGCAGCCCTGTCAGAGCCGGGCTGGGGGGTCCTGCTCAGCTGAGCTCTGGGTTTGCTGTGCCAGGTGAGCCGAGTGGGACCCGTGGGCAGGGCCTGGCTCCGTCCCCTGCTGCCTTCCCAAGTGCTTCGGAGCACAAACACCAAAATTCCGTGACGTGGAGCCTCTCAGCTGAGCAGGTCCTGCTGCTTGGCTGGGCTGCACTTCCCCATCCTGGCAGTGTGGTCCTGGCTCCCTTGGGAAGGAGACCGGGGGCTCGAGCAGCGGCTGACGTGGGTGCTGGTCAGTCTGTGCAAACACATTCCATGCTCCGTGGTCGCTCCTGCACTCCTGGAAAGCTGCTCCGGGGCCGAGTGGTCACGGGCCATCTGTGAGAGCAGGGCTGGGGCAGCTGTGGGGACACGGGGCCAGGGAGGGCCAGCCATGCCAGATGGGCAGCCTGGAGCTCTCCTCGGAGCCTGGGCTGTTCCTGGGCCTGGGCCTGTGCCCATTCCTGTGCCCAGAGCCCAGGCCATCACACCCCCTTTCCCCCCTTGGAACCAAGTGTCCCTCCAGCAGCTCCTCCTGCTCCGGGCAGCCCAGCTGGGCTCAGCAGATGGGACAGGGGGGGTCAGCCAAAGCTGCCTTGGGGATGGCACAGAGGGAGAGCCCAGCTGGACCCTCTGGCAGGAGGTTGGGGACAGCAGTGTGATGCCCTGGGGCTTTCCTGCCGTGGTGACACCTCAAATGTCACCAGAGAGGTGTGCTTGTCTCCCCCTGCAGCTGAGCTCCTCTTCCTCCAGCACAAAGTGACATTAATTATCCCACATCCTAGTGGAGGAGTCTTGGTGAGGCTGGAACGGCACCAGAGGGCACTGGGACAGCAGCAGAGGGCACTGGGACAGCACCACGGGGAACTGGGATGACACCACAGGGCACTGGGACAGCACCACGGGGAACTGGGGCAGCACCACGGGGGACTGGGGCAGCACCACGGGGAACTGGGATGACACCACAGGGCACTGGGGCAGCACCACAGACCCCCAGTGCCTCCAGAGAGGGGTTTCCTTCCCCCTGTGCCCGTGACCCTGAGGGGATTCTGCTTCCTGCCCCCGTGTCTGAGCAGGTTTTTGGGCAGGAGCCCCTGGAGCTGCCGTGGGTTTGGGGCTCCCTCTGAGCACCCAGAGCGATGCAGATCCCGGCACTGCTCCCACTGTCTGCGGGAGAGGGATGGAGCCAGGCCTATCCAGTTCTCTGGAGAGGAGAGCAGGGTGCTGCCCACTGCCAGGGCACAGGGGCTGTGCCAGGCACCCTGGGTTTGCAATGCAATCCCGTGGGATCTGCCCGGATGCGGTTCCTCCCCGGCGGGACGAGCAGGGCTGGCCGGGGCAGGGCGGCTTCTGCAGCCGCTGTGGCTCGCTGGGTTTGGCTCAGCTCCATCCCCCCAGCTGGGGCAGGGCCGCTCTGTGCTGTGGGAACAGGGACTGTGTGACGGGGGGGACAGTTTGGTGGCACTTCCCTTCCCTTCCCGTGCTTTACCCGTTCTCCTGCCGTGTCCAAGGCTCTTCCCCAGTGCTGTAGCCATGGCTTTCACTCCATGTCTGTGTTTGTGTGTGTGGGCTCCTCTCTGAGCATTGTCCCTGCTCGTGGCTGGCTCTGCCCGTGTCCGTGTGCCCCTTGTCCCGTTGTCCCACTGTCCGTGTGTCCTAACTGACTGTGCTCTCTGTCTGTCCCACCTCAGCCTGACGCGGACGACGAAGCAGCGGTACGAACTTCTTTTCTTTCCCACATTTCTTTCCCACATTTCTTTCCCACATTTCTTTCCCACCTTGGGGTCTGTCCCCTCGTTAACAGCCTCTCTGTTAATTGCTCTGAGTGTGGCCCACCCAGACCCGTGTCCTGGTGGTCTCAGGGCACCCTCGGGTGTCTGTGTCCGTGTGTGTCCCGGGACATGTCCCTGGGCTCCGGGAAGGGGCTGCATTCATTCCTGGCTGGCCCATCTGCCTCTCTGTGTGTTCTGGGGGTTGTGAAAGCTGGGCTGGAGGAGCAGGTCAGGGGTCTGGCTCTGCTCGGCCATGGCCCCGTCCAGCACTGGATTTTGGGGCTGTTCCTGGTGGGATCTGGGAACTCTTGTGGCTGCGGGGAGGTGGCGAAACCTGCTATTGCAGGAGCGTGTTCCCTGGAGAGGTGTGGGAAAAGGAGGAGAAGGGCCAGAGCTCTGCTCCTGCCCCAGCCCCTGCAGCCTAGAGGGAGCCTTGGGATGTGTGAGCGTCCCTGTGCCAACTGGGAATGGGTTCAGTCTGGGAATGACAAGTGGTGTTGGGGAAGAAGCAATGAGTCTGTGCCCTGTCTGTCCGTCCCTTCACCGGGAGGTAACAGGGTCTGCTCCTGTTGCTCCTTGGTACAGCAGGGCTGGGTGGGCACAGACAGGGGAGCTGCTCCCCTTGGGTCCAAGGGCCTGGAGAGCCCCCGTGGCCTGGGGAGCTCTGGAGTCCTGGGGATCCATCATGTCCCACGTCTCCGTGCGGATCTTGGGGCCGCTGGGATGTCGCCGGTGCCAGATGGGAATATTGAAACAGGTGCCCTTCCTCCCCTCAGCCCATGGACCCACTGAGGCACCCAAGGGGTTCAGTGGCAACATCCTCTTCCTTCTTTCCTCTTCCTTCTTCCCTCTTTTCTCTTCCCTCTTCCCGCAGCAGCCGCGCTCCAGCCGTGCTGGGGGCAGGGGCTGTGCCGGGGGTGCCCTGTCCCCTGCACCAGGGGGGTTTGGCTGCCCCTGCCCTGTCCTGGTGCTGTGCCGGGGCGATCCCAGTGACCAGGCATGTGTTCCCTTGCAGAGGACGATCTCCCTGGGAGCAGGGGACAGGCAGGTGATCCAGACTCCCATCAATGACTCTCTCCCTGTCAGCAGCTGCAGCGTGGCCCTGCTGTTCCGCCAGCTCGGTGAGACCCGGCCCCACCCTGCCATGGTCCCTGCGGGTCATTCCCACCTGGCTTGGGGCTCCAGAGCCTCCCCAGACCCTTTTCCAGGAGGGTGGGATGCAGGGCAGGAGTCACGAGGAGCAGCCTGGGTGCAGGAGGAGAGCCCAGAGCTGGTGTTGGCCTTGTGCCTCCCAGTAAAGGACTGGGGCAGCCCGGGAGCAGTGGGAGCATCTCTGGGAAGAGGGGCTTCTCTGGGGGATGCTGAGCTCCTCTCTGGGGCAGGGTGTGGGGATGGGGAGTGGTCTCCAGCCCTGGGGGGCGGGTCAGGAGTCTCTGGAGGGGTGCAGGAGGGATTCCCCCCGTTTCTGAGTGCCCTCCCATGCCCTGCCCAGGCATCACCAACGTGCTGTTCCTGTTCTGCGCGGCGCTGACCGAGCACAAGATCCTGTTCCTCTCCAGCAGTTACCAGAGGCTCACAGACGCCTGCAGGGCTCTCCTGGCTCTCATGTTCCCCCTCAAGTACAGGTGAGGGGTCCCTGAGCCCCCCACGCTCCACCCTGTGCCAGCTCTCCTGCCTCCCAGTGCGACTGGGGAATCTCCCAGCCCTGCCTCCTTCCTCTCCAGGCAGGATGGGCTGAGCTGGGAAATGTTCTCCCTGGTGACCAGGACGGGACCCAGGGAAGGGCTGGAGCTGTGTCAGGGCAGGGTCAGGTTGGATCTCAGGAAAAGGTTCTTCCCCCAGAGGGTGGTTGGCACTGACCAGGCTCCCCAGGGCAGTGGGCACAGCCCCAAGGCTGCCAGAGCTCCAGGAGGGTTTGGACAATGCTCTGAGGGACAGGGGGGAGTGTTGGGGTGTCTGTGCAGGGCCAGGGGTTGGATTGATGATCCCTGTGGGTCCCTTCCAGCCCAGGATATTCCCTGATTCCATAAGGAGTGAGGTGTTCCCAGCAGTGTCCCCAGCCCTGTTCCTGGCTGGGGCAGCTCTTGGCAGAGGGAAGCAATCCCATCAGAGGATGGGATGTGATCCAGGGCTGTGCAATCACCCTGTGGTGCACATGGGAGAGGCCAGAGGTGCTTCTGCCTCCAGAATCCATCCCTTTCCCTTCTCTCAGTGGGATCATAGCATAGAATTATGGAATCATGGAGTCCCAGGAGGGTTTGGGTGGGAAGAAACTTTAAAGCCCATCCAGTGCCACCCCTGCCATGGGCAGGGACACCTTCCATTAGCCCAGGTTGCTCCAACCTGGCCTTGGACACTTCCAGGGATCCAGGGGCAGCCACAGCTTCTCTGGGCACCCTGTGCCAGGGCCTCCCCACCCTCCCAGCCAGGAATTCCTTCCCAGTATCCCATCTGACCCTGCCCTCTGTCAGTGGGAAGCCATTCCCCCTTGTTCTGGTCTTGTCCAGAGTCCCTCTCCAGAACACTTCCAGGGATGGGGTGGCCACAGTTCCTCTGGACAAGTGTCCACGAGCCTTCAGGAGCCGTGGGCAGGGGCTGCCCGAGGGGCTGGGAGTGCCAGGGGCAGCCTGGGCACACCTCACCCCCCCTCTGGAGCCAGGATGGGGCTGGTGCTGGGTTTGGGGCAGGGCTCAGGGGCTGCACTGAGGCTCTCTCTGGTTGCAGTTTCACCTACGTGCCCATCCTGCCCGCCCAGCTCCTGGAGGTGCTGAGCACCCCCACCCCCTTCATCATCGGGGTCCACTCCATCTTCCAGTCAGAGACACAGGAGCTGGTGAGGCACCGTGTTCCCTGTTCCCTGTGCCAGGGGAGGGCTGGGCAGGAGCAGGGGGGGGTGACAGCGGGCTTGGGGGGCATCAGGCATCATCCTTGGGGTGCCCGGGGCCACAGGCTCCGTGTGCTCAGCCCGGGACATCCAGGTGTCCTCATGAGCCC